GGCGGGAGGCCCCGCCCCGCGGGAGGCCCCGCCCCCGCGCCCTCGGGCTCTGACGTGGCCGCCCCTCGCCCGCGGGGTCGCTAGCTGAGGGGAGGCGGCGCGTGCGCGCCCCGGGGACCCGCGGGGCTGGAGGCCGGGAGAGCGCGGACGCCGCAGTGACCTCGGCCGGGGCGGAACGGAGAAGGCGGGCGCCGAGGGGGCCCTGGGGGCTGTCGCGGGGCTTCCCCTACGTGGGACTCTCTGGCTTCGCCTGGGGACGGCTCGCCGGGGGTGCCGCAGTTTCGTCTCCACAACAAAGAAGAACCCTTACCGTTTCAACGACCTCCTGGGGTCGCGGTCGACCTTGTGAAACACCTCCAGTGACGAATATGCCCGCGGCGCCTGCGGGCCGGGAGCCTCACTCTGGCCGTTCCCGCCCGGTGACCCCCAGTGACCCCCAGCTTGCTGATCTTTCCTGAATCTGATAACAGATTTCTTCCCCCACCCTGAGGGCTGGGGATCTTAGTTTCTCAACCAGGGTTGGAACCCGGTCAGTGAGAGCCCTAACCGGTGGACAGCCTGGGAATTCCCATGATAACAGATATGACCTTATTAATCCTTTTCTTGTCGCATTTCCCGTTGCTTCCCCACTAGGGAGCAATATTAGGGTCCCTTCTGCCCTTTTTTTGCCCCCGGCCCCCAAAGGGAGAGTCCTTTGCTCGAATCCAGTGAGGCTACGGAAGCAGCCAGTGATTGTTCGAAAAGCCGTGCCCCGGTAACAAATTGTGAAGTTTCCACCAACAGTAAATAATAATGTCTTTTAATTACTTGTGGGCCTACATAACCTTGAGGATAGTTTAAGAATTTGAGCAACTCTGTTATGGAATAAAACTTTTACTTGCTGGGGATTTTGAGATTATGAAATTCATCCTCCTCTACCTCAGCATAAATGAATTCTTCTAGTTTTGAGATCAGATAAGGTTAGAAAGGTTTTCTCAGATTTGAACCTTCCTGGAAGGTTATCACTGATCTTAATTTTGATTTTACGATGTGATTACAAACTGTAACGTTTTCTTGGGAGGATTGCTCACTCCCCCAACCCCCTTCCATATCCAGTTCACATCCCTTGGTCCTTGCTCCGTGTTTCTTTTTTTTGCCCCCTGATCATCATCCTTGTTGCCCTTTGGCATGTGGCATCCAGAGGTGGAAGTCGTTGAACAGTTAATGACTGCTGTAAATGAGCTGTCTGGCAGGTTGGGCTTTGTGGCATACTGCTTTGCTGACTCACAGTAACCTTGCAGTCAACTAGACCCTTTTCGTGTGAACTGTTTTGAAGTTAAGTTTCATCCCTTGTGCAGATAATTGTTTGACCTGAACTGTAGGAACTTGCAATTATCTTTCTTAAATTTTCTCTTTTTCCATTTGGGTACAAGTTCAAGCTGTTACCTGGTATAGTGTTTCTGCCATCCCTCTGTCTGAGGGAACTTAAATAAGCATTCCCTTTCGTTTCCTTCACATTTAACTTGCCCAGGGTGAGGCCAAATTCAGTGCTGGTGGCAGGCCTCTGGCCCCTCCCTTTGGGTTGATACCATTTTATTAGTCAATACATATTCACCCAGTGACCTTTTGGTGTAACTGCCCTATATATCATGACTCATTGTGTGACCCTTTCTGTGACAAATACAGAGGAGAAATAGTGAAGCTGTGGAAATTGACTTGATTCATTTTTGTCAGAGATTTTGATTGAAGTTCTTTAAATAGCATTCTACTTGATGTTTTTACTGTAAAGGTAACTGCATACTCACTTGGAGAGAGAAACAGTAAGATAATGGGAAGAATTCGAAGTGAAGAAGGAAGGTGCCTGACTGGACAATGGAGTTGAGGAATTCAGAAGGTGGCCTGGAAATAAGAACCTGCAGAGAAATCTGGGTCCACATGACAGATTCAGAATTGAAGGACAAAGAATGGATAGGGAGGGTTAGATTTGTTTGAATTATTGGGACCCAACTCTCCCAGGATAATGATGGTAAAATAATAATCACCAGTATCTGTGGAGCGTTCGCATGTTATATATGGGCCCTGTACATGTGTTACTGTTTTGCGCCTCCCCTTAACACTGTCAAGGAAGGTGCTGTTGTCACTGTCGAAGGGGAGGGTCTAAGTTCCATAACTCACCCTTAGGGGCAGGTCGGAGAAATCCCCTTGGGGAGCACAAACTAATGACTGTGCTGTAGTCACAGTTGGGGTTGAAGCCCACATCACTCCTAAAGGTGCACGCGAAGCTTGGGGGTCCTGCTTCTTTGGGGGTGAGGGGACACTGAGTAGATGCCTGCAGTTTGCATGGTATAAGGGTCAGCAGAGCCTCCCACTTTCATGTTCCTCTTTTTTAATCTTGTTGCTGGTCCATTAGGGTTTTTCCCTCCAGGGTCTAGATTACTCTTGTCCCCTCCCCACCTTTCCAGCAATTTACTTGGAGACAAGAACTGTGTTTTTCAAAATAAGACCTATTTGTTTTTGTTTTCTTAAATAGTCTCTTATGTGGTATATCATTTAATCGCTTTCATATTCTTTTAAAACCCTGCATGTTGTCTGTTACCTTAGCTCTGGATCCATGGCTTCTGTAGTGCCCTGTGCTCTCAGTTTGCTGTGTGGTGTGGCTCACGTCGTGTTGGAATGAAAGGTTGACAGCTGTCTCCCCAGTGGTCTGTGAAGTGCTCTAGGGAGGGCACCATCTTGCTCTCCGGAGCCCTGACAGTGGGACCCAACTGGAAGTTTAGGGCTTCATTAGGTCCACTCGGTCATACCGTGAGTAGAAGTTATTGAAAACCTGCTTTTAAAATGAGAAAACTCATAAAACTTATTGAGTAAACATGTTTTGTTCTAAGTCACAAGGCAAAAAAAATTCCAGTCATGACTTGATCTCAAGCATGTATTTTTCAGGGTGGTGGGCAGAGGGAGTGGGGTGGCGGTGATGATGGGCCAGCCTGGAATCTGGGTGAGAAAAGCCCAGGCTGTGTGAGGACAGCGAGTGCTTCCCAGCAGTACAAAGTTGGATGTTGACTTCTGGATTGTCTGAAACTGACCACTGGGTAAGCCTGAGCCTGGGAACCTGGCCCAACTCCAGGATCCTTTTCAACTAAAAATAGAGACAACTCAGCCTCAGCTAATTTTAGCTTGAGGCATCTGAGAAGTATATTCTGCCTGCTTTTGAAGGTGTTGGGACTTGCTGGTTCAGGGATTTTACCTTTCTTGCATTTTCGTTAAAAACTCTCTGTAAAAAGGCACTTATTTTAATAGTTCCCTTTTATGAACATCATTTCATTTCAATCTTATACTAACTCTGGCAGATATCCCCATTTTCTATTAATAGAAGATGACTCGGGTTTAGAGAAATTAAAAGTGACTTGCATGCAGAGGACTTCCCAGTAGGAAGATAATAGTCTGCTCTGGAATTGATATTCAACCCTGGCCCTGCCACTTGGTAGTGTATTAACCTCTCTGAGCTCCTCTTCTGTAGACTGGAATAATGGAAGTTAATTGTATAGGATTCTTATGAGGATTAAACGTGGTGTGAAATTGTGTCATTTTATTCTCGACATTTTATTTATTTTTAGCCAGGCTATGTTTTTCTTGCTTCTGCACGGACTTTTTCCAGTTGTGGCAAGTGGGAGTTACTGTTGATTGCGGTGCATGGGCTTAGTAGTTATGGCACATGGGCTTCATTACTCTGTGACAAGTAGATTCTTCCCGGACCGGGGATAGAACCCGTATCCCCTGAATTGGCAGGTGAGTTCTCGACTACTGGACTTCCAGGGAAGTCCTGATTTTCAGCATTCTTGCTGACTTGTAGTCTTCACTTCCCTTCTTCATCGGGTTAAAGAACTGCTAGATGTACATCTTACCTTCTAGGAAATTAAATTTTAACCTTCTTGGGTCGCTAATCATCAGGTTGGTAGCATGATGTTGGTTGATGCTAAGACAACTACATCAGTGTTGAAGGTCTTGCTTAGAGAATGTAGCTGCTCCTTGATGGGTTAGAGAATGTAGCTGCTCCTTGATGGGTCATCTTTGGTTCCATGGTTCCTGGCACAATTGCTGGTTGTAAATGATTATTAATTCCCTAAAGACAGGAGTTGGATCTTAAGTGAATTGATTAAGTAATTTTTTAAAAATTATTTTCAGTAATTTTTCTTGGGTTTGATTTTGGAACTTTTGCAAAGGAAGGTGTGTTTTGAGTAATTAATACCTTTCATTGCCCAGTCAACTTTAAAGCACTTATCAAGCCATCAGAATAGCTTGGATCTCCACTCAGAAGAACTTGTGGATGTAAATAGCTGACTTAAATCCTGGCCCTGGAAAGGTCTAACTTCCTGACCTTATCCTCTTGAGATGTTAGTGAATTTGCTACCTAAAGTAGTAGTTTAGTCTCTAAGTCATGACTGACCTTTTTGCCACCCCAAGGACTGTAACTCACCAGGTTCCCCTGTCCATGGGATTTCCGAGGCAGGAACACTGGAGTGGGTTGCCATTTCCTTCTCCAGGGGATCTTCCTGACCCAGGGATTGAACCCGGGTCTCCTGCATTGGCAGGCAGATTCTTTACCCCTGAGCCACTAGGGAAGTCTCCCACTACCTAAAGTAGTCCTTTAGACAAGATAAATGGCTGTGAGAGCTTCTTTTGGGGATTTAATTGAGAAATAAGGATAATCTTTTTCTTTGTATCCTATTCTCAGTGGAGATAAATACAAAAAAAATATCAGTTGCTACCACCTGGGATTTCTAATGTGATCTTCAAATCTCTGAAATTTTATGAAAACAGTGGTGATTTTACCTAGCAACATGACATTTGAGAGACTTCAGGTTGAAATAATTTTTCTTTGGATTCACAGTATGTTAGGGATATTCAGGCAGTTAGTGAGAAGATCAGATCAGCCTTGAAAATTATGGGCTAATTTGTGCTCGAATTTACTAATTGTAGCCATTCTTAAACTTCTGCCTGCAAAGACTTGCCTTGAGAACTTGTTCAAAATGCTCATTCCTGGACTTCCTGGGTGGTCCAGTGGTTAAGAATTTGCCTTGCCACAGAGCAACTGAGCCCGTGAGCTACGACTGCTGATCCTGTGTTCTCAGCCTGTGCTTCGCGGCGAGAAAAGCCACCGAGATGAGAAACCCACACGCTGCAACCAAGAGTAGACCCTGCCCGCCGCAACTAGAGAAAGCTTGAGTGCAGCACAGAAGACCCAGCATAGCCAAAAAAAAGTTCATTCCTGAGGGTGCCTTCTCCAGTTCGAGCAGGGTCTTGGAAATGTGTATTTTGAGAAAAACACTAGGGGCGGTTTTGATGCGTATTTCACATAATCTCTTTGGATAGTGAGAGTAAGCTCAAAGTTAGGACTCTTCCTTGTGTTTGGAGTATTGAAGAGTCTTCAGATTTTAAAATCAGTGTTAGATAAAATTCTTGTTAGTAAGATTACCCTTGGTTGCTTTTTTTCCCATTGAGCACAGCTGAAGTCATTGACTTGTAACAGTGACTCTCAGACTTCACTGTGCATTGGAAGAGTGAGACCTGAGAACTTATGTTTCTAACCGAGTTCCAGGTGATGCCGAAGCCACTGGTGCAGGACCAAGCCTTGAGAGTGACTGGTGTGTATGGGTAGGGACCAGGTTGCAGGACAGGTATTAATCCTAAAGCTCGGGCTTCACTCTGGGCAGGTGGGAAGTGCAGGTCACGGGCATCTGGAAGTGGGTCAGACTTTAGGAAAAGCGGATTCGCACCTCCAGCTTCAGTGCCGATGTCAGGTATATGCTTCCGGAATGGAAAAGTGGATGGAATTGTCCACGTTGTATTTTTTGTCTTTTTAAGACTCAAGTGCAGATAAACAACAAGGTTCTTCTGTATAGCACAGAGAACTATATTCAATATCCTGGGGTAAACCATAATGGAAAAGAATTTGAAAAAGGATGTGTGTGTGTGTATATATATGTAACTGAGTCACTTTGCTGTATAGGAGAAATTAACACAACATTGTAAATCAACTATATTCAATAAAAATTAATTTCAAAGATGTACGAGCAAGACGATTAAAAAGACTCAAGTGCATTTAGCTGCGCTGTGCACTTTGTGTATGATGAACACCGTTGTGTTTCTCTTGGCACAGTTGGCACCTGTTCTCACTTCTTTTCTGGGTTATAACCAGAGCACTGTGGTTGTGGCTGTACTTCCTAGGGGCTTCCGAGTCTGGAATTGTGTAATTGGTACTTAAATACATGTCTGGTTCCTAACGTCATCATGACAGACTAAAAGTGACTTATCCCTCTGCCTTTTTTTCCTTCTCTGTAAATGGAAATGCCTTTCTGTTCTTTGGAATTGATTTGGCCTTAGCATTTTGCTGTGTGTGTGTGTGCGCATGTATATACTTGAATATCCTATAAAGTCTGGCTGTTATTTAAAAAAAGACTGGGGTGTCTTTTCCCTTTAGCAGACAAAGCATTTGTTTCAGAGTGAATGCTTACATTGCAGTTGTTACTTTGGGAACCTGTAAAATCCTTCACTTCAGAATAGTCATCTCAGGTTGTTCTCAGAAATGTCTTTCACTTGTTACTGCCATGGGGTCTCAAAAGAATCAAATGCCACTTAGCAACTCAACAACAACAGTTGCAGTAATATTTCATACTGTTTCGATCTGCCCATGATATTAGATGTGGGCTTTACAAAGGCAGAAAAGTAGGTATTAGAAGTAATTTATGTCTTGGAACTTCCCTGGTGGTCCAGTGGTTAGGATTCCGTGCTTCCACTGCAGGGGGCACCAGTTTGATCCCTGGTCGGGGCAGTAGTATCCCACATGCCACATGGGACAGCCAAAAAAATAAAGAAAACATTTATGTCAGACTTTCATCTGTAAAGCATGTATAGACACTCTGCACCTAGGTACTTGGAATCTCTCTTGTTGAGAAGTAGATGGAAACAGGTAAACAGTAGGTTTATATAAGAGTTCAAGACAGTGATGGAAGAGAGATAATTAACGTTTGTATGTGGTACACATTGAAAAAGCCAGTAAATGTTGGCTGATGATGGAGGAGAGAAGAAAAGAAACCATAGGAGGCCTTGGCGGAGAAGATGAAAATTACTTGTTTGGCCTGGGATTTGGAAAAATAATACTTTTGGTCATGAGGTTACTCTTGAAGCATTTTATCACTTTCAGGGAAGAAGTCTGAAATTATACCCTAAGAGTCATTTTAAGTGCTATTTCTTAAGCTGAAAGGTTTGCAGTCTCTTAAGAGGTCAGGGCCAGTTTCAGGGGGAGTTGTGGAGTTTATCCTAATGAAGTGAAGAGTGTCCTGAAGGTAGCTCTGTGAAGGGGGAGTTGGCTTAGAGCGTGCCCTCCACCTTCCAGCCTCTTTGACACTCATGTAAACAGTGAGTCAGAAGAACAAATGGTGCGTCTGGGTTTCTCAAGAGCTGCATGGAGAGGAGTGTGTCTGCAAGTCCAGTGGCAGGAGTAGCTGGAGAAGACAGGTGCGGAAGTGGGGTTCAGTGGGTAGTCGTGGGGTCTTTGGGGAGCATCAGAACACAGACTGTGAGAGCAACAGCTGTGAAAGGCGTTGTGTTTCCAGATAGATTCCTTTATCCGGAGTTCTACATGTTACATCTATGCTTCATTGACCTGTGTTTTAGCCAGGTGCTGCAGGGTGGGGTGGGTAAGAGATGGGCCCGCTGTTCTGGGACGGTGTCATGTAAGGGGATAAGAAAGGAGGCAGAGAGGGGACCAGAACCAGGTTTCCTCACGGCCCAGGCAACGTGATGACTGGCTTTGCTGTCACTCAGGACGGTCTTCCATCCCCTTTTAGGAGTAGTTTGGAAAATGAAAAGCTTTTAAGTTTGGATCAGCACATGCTGAGAGCCAGTGAGAGCCTGCCCACTTTTTAAACCAGTGGGAATTTTATAGCTTTGAACTCTGTGGAAGCAAGACTAGTAGGAAATAGGGAAGAAAATAAGCTACTTTTCCCTTTTGCGGTAATTTTGATCATTAACCTGTTTTCCAGAGTCAGTGACTTTACTATTGAGATTTGTGAAAATAGAAAATATGCATTATCATGTGTCTAATTACCTGATTTCCCGTCTTTTCCAGGAGGTGTGATTGCCTACATCAGTTCTACCAGCTCAGCGTCCAGCCCTGCCTCTTGTCACAGTGAGGGCTCCGAGAATAGTTTCCAGTCCACCTCCTCCTCTGTCCCGTCTTCTCCAAACAGCACTCACTCTGATAGCAATGGGAACCCCAAAAATGGTGATCTCTCCAATATTGAAGGCATCCTGAAGAACGATCGAATAGATTGTTCTATGAAAACCAGCAAATCGAGCGCCCCTGGGCTGACAAAGAGTCACAGTGGAGTCACAAGTGAGTTGTCTGGTTTTCTGGCAGTTGATGCCACGAGTGGGGCTTACTTTATCACCTGCTCATTTGGTGGGGACCATTTTATTTCTGGGTGTACTTTTCACCCCCTTCTGGGTAGTTACAGTTTAGTAGTTATTAAGAAATCAGTGATGACCTGAATTAAAAGTTTCAGCCTAGGGCCTGTCTTAATTAATCGGTTCTCTGTGGTGAGGTGGTCCGGCTGCCTGTGTTTCCCCTCAGGTGCCCTCTTAGCTTCCACAGTTGTCTTTCTTCTGCCCTCCTGGTGCTGACTCTGGTTTCTAGAATGGAGCACTCACGGAAAGGAGCTTGCTTTCATGAAGCCTGGTGCTAGGAATGTTTGGAGGGTTGGCATATCCCACAGAGTAGTGGGAATGTGGATCCATGAGTGAGTGCAGAGGTCACAGGCTGGTTCAAGGCGGGGTCAGGAAGGGCTGGCACCTGGCTCTGCCTGCAGGTGGGTTGGACTCTTTGCACAGTGGCCTGTGGAGACCCCGTCTCACACCTTTTGTTGGTTGACGCCCCTGGCGCTGATTCCTTGACTCTTATCCAGCAGAATTGTTTTCTTAGTTCTGGTTGCATATCTGATGTAGAGTAACTCTAGATTTACAAAATTTCAGCATATGTCCAGAATCTTCAGCTCTCTGAGAGAGTTTTGGCCATGCCATAAGGCGTGATTTCTTTTGATTCATCAATTTGGTGTAAAGATTTTTCTCTGACATTATAAAAGTATGTTGTGTATTTTTTAAAGTATTTATAAGTTGAACAAAATAGAGTACTCTATTGGAAAGAAATAGTTTTAGCTTTTCTTCCAGCTTTTCACTTTTCTGTCTATTTGTGCTTCAGAATTCAGTGGCATGGTTCTCCTGTGTAAAGTCTGCGGGGACGTGGCCTCAGGATTCCACTACGGCGTTCATGCTTGTGAAGGCTGTAAGGTAATGCATGCTTTATTTGTTTAAGCTGCCGATTCTGGGATTAAAGAAATTACATGGTCGATAATCTGGAAGGAGAAGAGAAGTCAGCTGCTCCTTAAAGTTTTAAGCATTTTATGTAGTGTACAAACATAACTCATTTTGAAAAATATATTTTAAAACTACATTTTAAATATATTTAGTATTTCTTTTTTTTTTTAGTATTTCTTTTTCCTTTAAGATTTTGATCAAAATAAATTTGCTATCTTACACTTGAATCTGGTGTGAAGTGTTTCATTCACCGACGCATCAGGCACTGTCCTGGGTGGCAGTGGACGGCAGGGAGCACTCGGATGAGGCTGTTGCTTTCTCGAGACTTAGACTAAGCCAGGCTTGGAACAGATTTCATCAGGTCCTTTGACACTTTGACCTGGCAGGTGCTGGGAACTGGGCGCAATTCCTAGATGCTTGTAAAAATGTGATACCTTCGGAAGCGATGCCAAGTCAGTGAAGGAATCTCAAGTATAAATTGAGCCCTAGGTCAGCTCATTTGTAAGTTGAGTTGAATATTCCTGAGTCAGGTAATCCCAAGTGAGAAGTCTCTGCTTCCTGCTTACATCTAGGGACTGTCTCTGCTCATCCGGCACAGTCCTTCCTCCTGAGTGTCTGGAACTGACACGGCAGGACTTGTGCTGGTGCTGCCCTCTCACTGGGAGCAGAAGCGGGAACCCGGTTTGGCTGGCTATGGTGGGGGAGCAAACAGTGAGTACACGTGAGGAAGGGGAAGGTGCTTCCTAGGGGGCTGAAGGAGCTGCGATTTTATAGCTCTTACTGGCTCGATCCCGTCACAGGACTGCTATACTTTATTCAGAAATAGCACTTTTTCATTGTTTTAAAAATTCTACAAATAGTTTTTCTTTTTTTTTCTTTTAACAAAAGATATGAAATAACTATGTTTCTAGCTAGAGAAACAAAAGCACAAGCAAATGAATATCAGTGCACATTCTTGATAAATGGCACACATAATTGCTCTTAAAGATCTAGCTCAGATATCATAGTGCCCAAGTATAGTATTATAGTAACAAAGCATAAAAATGTTCTATCCCACAATCAGTAATACAGATTCATCCAATAATGTGGTTAGTTAATGACAGTCGAGGAAACTGCAGTTTAAAATAATTTAGGTGATTTTGATTTTCCTGAAAAAGTCAAGGGGAGGTCTTTGCAGACCACTCACAGAGCGTGAACTGAATTGTTTGTGCAGTAAATACGGCAGCTGTGTGTGGTCATCCAGCTGGGAGCTGTGGGTGTGTGTGACCCTTACCTGTAGCTGATAAGTAAGCCGGAATATCTGGAATGATAAGGAGGTGTCAGCTGCTGGTAATCCAGGAAAGACCAAGTTCTCCTAGTGTGATCCTTAGATCTAGTGAGGGAACTGCAGTATGGAACACCGTTCTCTGTCATCTTGTTGAGGACGTCCTTCATATTGCAAGAGTTTGGGAATTTGAATGTGACTCCAGCATGAGCTGGAAAGCGTGGCTGCAGGCCCGGCTGGTAACAGGGTGAACGGAGTGTAGGACACGGGGCTTTGGCAGCACTGAGACTCCAAAGGGAAGTGGGGAAAGAGCCCTGCGTGGCCAGCAGGCGCTCGCAGGTACCGCTGAGAGCTCGGTGAATGTCTGATGTCAGTGTCGTCTTCCCCTGCTCTAAGCCAGAATGACTTCTCGGGTCCCGGTAGCGTACTGGCTAATTAGGTGTGGGGGACGCTCAGAAGGAGTTCCTCTGGATGTTTTTAATCGGATCCCTACATCTTCCTTTGTTCTTAGGGTTTTTTCCGGAGAAGCATTCAGCAAAACATTCAGTACAAGAAGTGCCTGAAGAATGAAAACTGCTCTATAATGAGAATGAATAGGAACAGATGCCAGCAGTGTCGCTTCAAAAAGTGTCTGTCTGTTGGAATGTCAAGAGATGGTATGTCCCCAGTTTAAAGAGTGCTCTTCTTAAAGCGTATGGGGCTTGGCTTTATTCCTCAGCGTGAACCAGAGCTGTAAGTCAATTACCAGTGGCCCCCTTGTGCTCAGGGTGAAAACAGATTTTCGAAAACACATTTTGTGGTCTTACAGGATGGCAAATTGATTAAAGTCAAATTTTAGCATCATCACCTCAGAAACAGCTTTTGACTCACTTCTTTTTTTTTGTTTCTTGCCTGTGAAAAGACCCATTTTTCCTCTGTGTGATTTGAGTACTTTAAAAAAAAAAAAGGTGTAGTTTTTCTTGATAAAGGAGTTCTTGGCTTTTCCCCCTGATTTCTTTCTTAGCAGTTCTAAGGAACGCATTTCTCCCTCTGTGAGTTAGCTCTGTGACTTCTCAGTCCTGAGATGACACTGTGCTCTTAGGCGCCGATTGTGAGTACTTTCAAAGGTGACGCAAGATTGAAAGACGTGTCTGATACTGAGGAGGTGGCAGCTCAGTCCCGGCGTGCGCCGCTCCTGTGGGCAACAGGGTGGTGGTGACTTGCAGGATCATTAGTGTCCTCTGTGGACAACCTCACTGGGAGATCTGACTCTTCTGTAGGGCTTGGGGTGTCAGGTTTGGGTAGTCTCATTCTCCTCCAAGTAACGTAGCTGAGGACCGTGGGGCTTTCAGAGGGGTCAGGTTAGGAGTTAATTGAGAACTGCTAAGAATGAGCCTTGTATTCATCTAGGGAAGAGTGATTTAAGCAGTCCCTTAGGTTACTCTAGCTAGTGTCTACTGACACAGAAACACAGCGTTGTAATAAGTAGGTTCTTGAATGACAGGTTTTAGCAATTGATGTTCTATGTTTTCAATTGCTTTAAAAAAATTTTTTTTTTATGGCGCTAGAAATACTAATCCAAACTTGATGGATATTGTGATTTCCACAAGAGTAAAAATGGCCATCAGTCGTGCAGAGGGAAGCGAAGGTAGAGTGTGCAAAATGATTTAAGTTGTTAAGTCTGCGGTTGTGACAGTGTAAGAGGCTGCAGTTAGAGCAGCGAGACTTCCTTGCAGGGTGGATACATTGAATTTTTATTATCTGTGTATAAATACTAGAATAGAAAGAAGCTTTTCTTTTCCTCAGGGATAGGAATGTTGGAGACAGGACTAGCTTCTAAGATAGTGCAAATGAACGCTTTTATTTTTGTTTCATTGATTTTAATTAAAATCCAGCCAGTTTATTTTCTAATAACTGCATTTCTATCGACTGTGACTTTTTTCTTTTCTTTTCTTTTAAGATTTTCTCTTAAGAAGTTGGAAAAGGTGATCACTTAATATTGGGTCTTGAGGATAAGGTTACAGAGATGAACGGACAAAGGTCAGGGGAAGTGATTGTTCCTACCCATCAGCGTTGATGGATGTGGGTAGCTGAATGCCTTCCTGAGGACACAGCCTTCAGCCTTAGTTAGTAAGGTGCTGAGTAGTAATGCTGGTTTGTTTCAAACTGATTTTCATTAGTTAACTTCAAATTTCTTTCTTAGACTTTCCTTATAAAATACCCAAGAAGTCTTCTCTTTAGCTTTATTTTGAGAGAAAAGTGAAAACTTTCTCTCCCCACTCCTGCTTCCTGTGGTTCCTCAAAAACATAACCGGCAAGTTTAGAATGATTTTTGGCCAGACTCAAGTGGGCACTCTTGTGTGATCAGAAGCTGTAGCTGTCTGAGCCAGTTCTGTGTTCCTCTTTGGAATAAATGGGTCTATTTAACCTGTAGACGTTGAATATCTTTTTCTGCATTAGCTGTTCGGTTTGGGCGAATTCCTAAGCGTGAAAAGCAGCGCATGCTGATCGAGATGCAGAGTGCCATGAGGACCATGATGGACAGCCAGCTCAGTGGTCGTTTGCACAGTGACCCTTTAGCAGACCACCATGAGCAGATCGCCTTGCCAGCCCAGGAACAACCGCGACCCAAACCCCAGCTGGAGCCAGACAACAGCAAAAGCTCTTCTCCCTCCTCCGATTTTGCGAAGGAGGAAGTGATCGGCATGGTAACCAGAGCGCACAAGGACACCTTCATGTATAATCAGGAGCCGCGCGAAAGCTCAGCGGAGACCTCGGCGCCGCCGCGAGAGCGGCTCCCTAAGAACCTGGAGCAGTACAGCATGAACCACGAGCACTGTGTGGGCGGGCCGCGCGGCCGCTTCCCTTGCACCCAGAGCCCGCCGCATCTCGGCGGACACTACAAGGGCCGGAGCGGCGTGCACTACCCCGGCGGGCACGGCGTCTGTGTGGCGGGCGGGCACTGCGGGAGCTTCCCCGGCGCTTATACTCCGCGAGTGTGTGATCGAGTTTCCATGGATGGGTTTTCTCAGAATGAGAACAAGAACGGTTTCCTGTGCAACACTGGCGGGAGAATGCACCTGGTATAGTGAAATCACTCTTTTTTGCTCACTTTGTGTCGAGGAAAACTGTGAAGGCTTTCTTTTATTCGGAGGCCACTCCAAATTCAGAGGCGGGGGTGAGGGTCAGCAAAGCTAGGAGATTTATTAGAATCCCTTTTGCGTGATATTTTAGATCAAATATTTTGAATAAATAGCATTTGTGGAATGACCTGCTTTCACACAGAGCTAGGTACACAAGCATGTTATTTGATTGATACTATGATCAGAATTAGGATTTTATGTAAAATATGGGTTATGAAGAATTGATCCTTTAATTCTTAAAAAACCCTTTCAAAATATAGGTATTCAAGTTAGTCTTGGCCTTACTAGCGTTGGGATTTCCTCAAGGGACTGATCCTTTAGCTTGCCATAGTCAGTAATTCCTTGATTGGGATGGAAAGTGTCTTTTTTAACCATCATAATATAAAGAGGTCTTTGGATGTAGAGCATGGGTGTTTCATGGTTTGAAAACTTGGGAATAGTTTAAGAAAATCCGCTGGATTCTAAGAATTTTCTCAGACTTCATCCTGTGGGATGAGTCAGTGTTACGTCATTTAAGTGTTTCATCAAATACAGCAGTCTGCATGAAAGCACGTCGTGTGTGCTCAGCCAGAGTGTCATCCAGAGCAGCAGGCCCACGGCTCTGTTAACACCAGGAAGTCCTTTGATAGTGCTTGGTGTTTTCTACAGCTGGGTAATTCAGATCTTCTTTTTTCATCAAAGAGTCAAATAGTTGACTCTACCCCAATCCTAATGTTAGGTGTTTGTTTGTTTGTTTGTCTTTGGTCCCTTGAAGTTATTTGATTCCATGGATCTGGAAGGTAACCTTATTTTCTTTAGGCTTAGTGACTGCTGTAAGGGGGGGGAAAATCCTTAAGTGTTTAGGTTCTAATTTGTGATGTTGCCCATGGTCATGGAGCCGTCCCATTTCTGGATCTCATGGGTTTAGTCGGCACGTGAAGGCTGATTTCATTCGCATGCGCAGTGCGCGTTTTGTATCTCCGTGGTGTGCCGGTCCCTCCTCTGGCCTCTTCTTTCCTCCCCATCCTCGTTTAGAAGGTGCACCTTGTGTGTCCAGCCATTGTGTCCTCACTGAAAAAGTGGAGGCCAGTGGTCACACCATTGTATATGAAATAAGTGGTCAGTGACCTCTTTTAAAACAATGAAGCATCTCAGACCTTTTCTTCTTTGAAATTACAGCAATGTAATTTTGCCTATTTAGGAAAGAGTGAGTTTTGAAATACTAAGTGTGGGGTTGGGCTCTAGGCCTTGACTTCTAGCTATATTTGGATGAATCACTAACCCATTTAAAGTCCCATTTCCTTATCTAAGATGGTAGTTATATGTCTGCCATAACTAAGTAACAGGACTGAGAGTCAGGTGCACGTGTGAGTTTGCTTGACAATTGTAAAACCAGTGTAAGATGATAGTAGTGTTACAAGGTCCACTGTCAAACCTATGCAACAGAAATGTTCAATTTCAGTGCTTTTTAGTAATTTTAGTTATGCACCATTGCCATAGTCCAGTGTTAAAACATCCCCATCACCCCCCAAAACATCCCTTGTGCCTATTTGCAAACAGTACCTGCCCCCAGCCCCAGCCCCGCAACCGCTCAGCTGATTTATGTTTCTATAGATTGTGCACCAGGTTTTTGAACCAGCTTGTAATAGATGAACCTTTTGCTTAGGCTACTTCTTTTATGATAAGTTAACTGCTGTTTAAATTAGGATGCTCTGAGTCTATCACAAGGGGAGCAGCCAGTAAAGAAAGTGCTAGCTAATATCAGTAGATTCCATGGTGTCACAGAGTATTTTCCTGTTGGGGTTTCCACTGACTGATACGCTGCCTTTGAAGTTTCTTTCCCACCTCTCATAATCAAAGATTTCTTCTGTTTTGCACATATTAGGTTTGTCCGATGAGTAAGTCTCCGTACGTAGATCCTCATAAATCGGGGCATGAAATCTGGGAAGAATTTTCCATGAGCTTCACCCCAGCAGTGAAGGAAGTGGTGGAGTTTGCAAAGCGCATTCCTGGGTTCAGAGATCTCTCGCAGCATGACCAGGTCAACCTTTTAAAGGCTGGGACTTTTGAGGTAGGTTTTTATTTATCTTGAATGTTGATACTGGGCAGGGTAGTATTTTATTTTCATTCTTTTCTCAACAAGTATTTGTAGTCCAGAGGCTGAAACTACCAAGAAAAGCATGACCATCCCAGGATCTTGGGGAGAGAGAAGGTAAACCCTGCATTACTCAAGACTTGAAACACAAACGTGCTGGGTTCGCAGCACAGCAACCCCAAGTTCTGAAACTGCCTCCAGGTGTGAACCTGGCAGGTTCTCTGGAGTTAGACACCTACTGAAAGCCTAGCCCAGCATTTCCTGGGTTCAGTACCGGACCAAAGGGGAAACAGATCGGTGTTTTTGTGTCTTAAGAGATGGTGGAATATTCAGTTGATGTAGCAGACGTTTCATATGTACTACCACAATCCTCTTGGCCTCGTCAGAATCCTTGGCTGCATTTTTGACTCCAGCTTCTCTTTCTGTGATGCTGTCTCCTGGGCCTGGGGCAGCTTTTCTTGCCAACTTGAGTAGGATGCAGACAGAGCCTCTCCCCGTGCAGGGCTAGGTGCCTCTCATCTGTTGGCCCGGGGCTTCCCTGCCGCAGCTGAGGTGGGCACAGGCGCAGGCCTGGCCTGGAGCTCACGTGGGCATTGTCCTGAAATGCAGGTGGGAGCTGATGTTGGGTGGCCCCAGCCTTTAATCAGCAGAGGAAGTGGCGGGGCGGGGGAGGGGAGCTTCATGTCCCTGGATGGCCACCCGTGGCCCAAATCTCAGCTGTGCTTGATGTCAGGCAGTGTCCAGCTTGGTGACACGTCCTCCGCTACTGACTTTGCTTTCATCACACTTCCTTCTTCCTCACGCCTGTTTTCACACCTGTACCCCCCACAAAACCCCTTGCCTTTGGCTCTGTTCTCTGGGGCACTTGGACTAGAATAGAGAAGAAGTTTTCGTAAATAAAATAGCTGTGATGTAATTCCAAAGAAACACCTATAGGTTGGAATTTTCAGTTTAGAGAAAAACATCAGACTTAAGGGTCTTTGGCTGCGCTGGGCCTTTGCTGCAGCGCGTGGGCTTCTCCGTTCGGGGCATATCAGATCCTAGTTCCCTGACCAGGCATCGAACCTGTGTCCCCTGCATTGGAAGACAGACTCTTGACCAATGGACCTCCAGATTGAGAGTCAGAAGGGATGTCAGAGATCAAGTTCAGTTCACCAAGTTATGAGGTTATAGAACAATATAGCCCAGAGAGGTGAAGAGAGTTTTCTTTCCTTGGTTACCAGTAAATTCTTGACAGTCATGACTAGAACACAGTTCTCATCCAGGACTTGCGTTCTGTTCCCCTTGTGATCTGTCTGGAGACAGCTGGCTGTGGGGCTAGCTCTGTCTTCTTAGAAGGCTTCCTCTCTCTCTCTCGGGCTATCTTGGGTGAAACGTCTTTGCTTGGGAGCTCTGCAAAGGGCAGATGTTTGTTCAGTGTTCATCTGGTTACACGAGAAATAGTCGTTAGCAGTGACTGCAGTGGAGTGAGCCTGCAGGTCCGCAGTGACGCTTGGTTTGGATTTCCATCATGACTTGATATCTGGAGCAGTTGCTGTAATAGTTTGTGTCTTTTTGGGTTACCCTTTCTTGAAATAGACTAATTAGAGTTCATCTTTCCTTGTCTACATTTGGTGTTTGGATGTTTCCAAGTGTTGTAGCGTTGAAATACTGCTCTTTTTACTTTGGGCTTAGAGACCGTGTGATGTACTTGATAGCTTAAAAGAGTTTCTTTAATACCTTTGACCAAGGTCCAGTTTCAGACTTCTTAGCATTATTGCCTGCTTTAATTTGGGGTTTTTTTGCCTGCTTTAATTTTGAATCTTCATTTCAGAATCTTTAATAGCTTCAGAGCACCATAGGCGTTGAGTATTTTGCCACTGGTGGTTGGAATTTTTTTTTTTTTTTTTTTTTATGCTATTCCTAGAGTATTGCTTTGGTGGAGAATTTGCCTTAAGCAAATGGTTCTGGGTAAAAATAAACTCAGTTTTTCTTCTACAACTTTTTAAAATACGTAGAATTCTCTTAACTGACTTGAATACTGAGTTATTTTCTCGTATTACAATTGAACTTCCCCATATACATTTAAGTCTTTTTCTTTTTCCAGGTTTTAATGGTACGGTTTGCGTCATTGTTTGATGCAAAGGAACGTACTGTCACCTTTTTAAGTGGAAAGAAGTATAGTGTGGATGATTTACACTCAATGGGAGCAGGGGATCTGCTAAACTCTATGTTTGAATTTAGTGAGAAGCTAAATGCCCTCCAACTTAGTGATGAAGAGATGAGTCTGTTTACAGCAGTTGTCCTGGTCTCTGCAGGTAAGGAAGCCGGTCCACAATTGTGCCACACCTGGAATGTAGTGAGCAGCCTGGGGAGAAGGCTGCAGTGGCCTAGGTTCTGGCAGGTCATGTGGAGGGGCGAAGGCATTAGGGAAGATGCTGAACTAGGGGTCTGTTATTTTTGCATGATGAATTTTTTTTTCCCATGACAGTAAAAGTCAAAAGGGCTGTATAGTGATAAACGGATGTTGAGATCTGGGTCTCATGTTTACCTCTCTTAATCTTTAGCTTTTGTTCATATTTTTTTTTAACAAGTCTTAATATCTTATGGATTTATTTTTTGCAACATTGTATATCTCCAGGTAGGTGGTGGTAATCCAAAACTAAGTTTTGTTTAAAAATACCATGTGGGTTACTTGAAAGTGTTGTAAGTATCAAGATGTATGATATTACTGTCTTTTGTTACAAAAATCCGCATTACGAGTTGTAGGCTCTCACTGAGCTTTGCTCCCGAGCTCTCTGTGTGGCTTGGTAAGTACCGTCTGTCTCTGGGTCTCGGTCCCCTCCCGGGAAGGGAAGTGAGTGTGCGTGGGAGCCTCACGTGCTGTCGGCACAGGGCAGAGGCGAGCGCCTGCGTGAGCGAGTGACACAGCAGCTGCCGTGTCCCAGCGTCTCCTGAGGCTTGTGAGGCACCCACGGCGTTTCCCAGTTTCCCTGCCACCGTGGTTACACTGCGGTTGCTTCTGACCAACGTATCTCAGCTCAGACAGTAAGACAGGGATTACCCCAGTAAAAATCGGGAACTGAGACGGGGACTTCCTGGGGAACATGTGAAAACGTGCCAGCCGTTTTCAGGTGTCCCTGACCTTATTCTAAACCATTCGTGGAGAATTCCACAGTATTTCGGTGTGAGTTACTTTAAGTTTCCCATTGACTTCCTACTGTGTAAAAGCCCTCGTGCTGAGCACAGGGAGGGCTGTGAGGTGTGCGTGTGGCCCCCGGTCCTGGGCCGAGCTGTGAGTCGGTTCACACCAGTAGTCCCCGCAGAGGGTGAGTTCTGTGTATCGTGAAGGGCCCATTGCATGCCAGTGGTGAAGACTTAGGCCGTTTACAAGCGTTGTTTGGCCACCTTTTCTGACCTGCTCTGCCTGCACTTACGGGATAATATGATGGACCGTGTCAGGGACGGCGGCCTGGTTTCTTAGTAGCTTTTCAATGCCTCTTGCTCATGTGTGTGTTCAATCACTTGTCGTGTCAGACTCTTTGCGACCCCATGGACTCCTCTGTCCATGGAATTCTCTAGGCAAGAATACTGGAGTGGGTTGCCATTTCCTCCTCCAGGGGATCTTCCTGACCCGGGGATCAAACCTTTGTCTCTTGCATCTCCTGCATTGGCAGGTGGGTTCTTTACCACTAGCACCACCTGGGAAGCCTCTTGCACATAACGCACCATTTTGCAGAGTCTCTTGATAAGTAATTAGTAATGGTTTGAGTTGGCATCAGGTTAGTAAATCTATAATCATGAAACCACAGGTGATCCATACTCGTTAACTTTTTAATTTGGTGAATGTGCCTGAAGTGTAAGGTGCTGTGGGTGGGTGACGGAACAAGTTTTAAGACACACGCTGAGTGTTCCATTTGGAGAGACTGAAGCAACACAGAAAGCTTTGTGTTCTAACCCCGAGGTTCTGCCTGCGGTAGATGGGCGTCTTGGGAGGGAAGAAGGCTTTGTGGGCAGGACGGTGGTGGAGCTGGACCGTGAGGGTGCAGTGTTAGGTTTCGCCAGCGGAAGGTGAGGACGCCCGGGGCCGAGGGGCGGAAGGCGGGGTTCGGGAGCCCCGGGCGGAGTGACCGCTGTGAGAGCCCACAGCCCAGTGAGATCGGGCCTGGCGGCAGTGTGGCTCCACGGTGGGGGGCGCCCGGGCGTGAATGCCGCGCTGATGAGACATGGTCCTGAGTGCTTACCCTGGGGCGTCAGGCCGGCGCCGGCAGCTGCAGGGTCGGCTCCGGAGGCCGTGCGGGTGACTTCAGGGGTGAGGAGGAGGCGGGGGCGCCGGGCGCTCCCGGGGCAGGTCAGCGGAGGGGACGGTCGGGAGCGGGGGCGCAGAGGTGCCCCCGGGGCAGGTCACGGGGGACGCGGCTGGGGGCGCAGGGCGCTCGCCAGGCACCATGCTCCTTCCTAGTTTCCACCAGGAATGTGATTTCTCTGTTGTTTCAGATTATAACTTTGAGAAAGCCTTGTATTGTCTTCTCATCATAAGAATAATACAGGTTCTTTGAGAAATTAGACAGTGTCAATATTAAGATGAAAATAAGGGGTGATAATATCACCACAAAAAAGCACCATTAACCTTAGGGGTCTCTCTCTAGCTATTTACCCACCAACCCATTTGTCCCTTTGCCTACTTGTGAATATATAGTAATAAAGGAGAAGGATGGATTGTAAAAGAAGATACAGCCTTCTTATTTTTGTTTATACATGAAGATATACAAACAACACAAAAATACGTGCATCTTAAAATGATACATTGTTCCACTTTATGATAATGTTCATATCAAATTTAAATCTTTGTCACTTAAAAAGAACTATTGTTATTTTTAAAGCAGGAAAATAAAATCCAGTAACGGTGGAAGGGTATAAAATGGAAAGTCTCTTTATTCTCTTGCTAGCCTGTTCTTCAGGCTTGTTCTGATGACTGCTGATCCAACTTGAAATACTATTCTCTCGCCTTTTTATTTAGTAGATGTAACTGATAAATGATAGCTCAGCTGGTGAAGAATCCGCCTGCAGTGCCGGAGACCCTGGTTCGATTCCTGGGTTGGGTAGATCCCCTGGAGAGGGAAAAATTACCCACTCCAGTGTTCTGTATAGTCTATCGGGTTGCAAAGAGTCGGACACAACTGAGCTACTTTCACTTTTCAACTGATAAATGAAAGCACCCTCTCATTTTTCCGTCTCAGCATTTATGGTCCCCCCGCGCCCCCCACCCCTGTTGCTTTAGTTATATAATAACTGTAATATGCCCACACTCTGCTCCTACACTTGTCCGTAACCTCTTGGGAGTTCAGCTCGCGCATCCTCACTGTCCAGGGAGGCAGCATCCTACTTTCTCTGCAGCCTGACTTCTTTTGCCCTAGCGTTTCTTCTGTGGCGTCGAGAATGAAAATGTTTACATTCTGTTCTAGAAATGTGACTGTCTTCCATGCTTTATTTATCAGTTGACTCTAAAAATTGAACAGTAAAGCACCCTTATTTAAGTGTTATGATTACGGGAATAGTGCTCATAGTGTTCCCTCAGTGGGGCTGAAAGGGTAAGGAGGCAATATAGACTCTCCCCTAAACCTGTGCTTCCTGAAGGGAACATTCCAGTGTCAGGTAATGGATGGTCTTTCTGTATTTTCTGCTAACTGCTTAGAATTAAGCAGTTTGCTTTCTATTCAAAATAGCTTTTGTTTTTTTGGGGGTCTGCCCTTGCCTTCTGGTTTTGGTTTTGTTTCGGTTGTTGTCAGACGATATGCTAATGATCTCATTATGTAATTTTGTCTTCACGACAGACCCTGCCTGTGAGCTCGGACATGCTATCCTCAGTTGCACAGGCGAGGAGTTTGAGGAGAGGCAGGGGCGGGGCTTAAATCATTTGTCTGAGGTCACATTTTTAACAACTGGCTGATGAGGCATTTGCACGCCTGCTGGTCTAGCTTCAGGAGCCTCCGCCTGTGCCGGCTGTTAACAGAGCAGCTCTAGCTGCCAAGGGAGAGAGGTCTCAGACTCTCACCTGCCTGAGGGATGGGGAGAAGCTTGATACCGTGAGGAGCAGAGCAGTTGCCCCCGGAGGTTAGTTCTTTCTCGGGCTGTGTGGAAGGGTAGAGTCCCTTCCAGGTGGAGGTCAGACTCGCCTGCGGGTGTCAAGCCGGGCTTGTCAGGGTGCGGGCGTCAGTTGTCCCCATGAGGCTTGTGGACAGGATTTCACGTCCATCTATAGGACGACAGTCGAGGAGGAGTTCTCGTGAAATGGTGAAAGACGTGGAAAGGTGTGTCCTGACCCGCAGTACGGCGTGCAGTGCACTGTCTGGAAGACAAGTCTCCATTTCAGTCTGCGCCTCTAGTGTTGCAGTCGCTAGAGGATTGTTGTTTGTGATCAGCTGCATTTGTGCTTAGATCCTCTGGCCTCGAAATCATGAAACCATGGCTTTTTATGATTAACATTCTTAGGTACAGTGAAGGGAGTTGAATAGAGGGGCGTAGGCCACTCAAAGTCCAGATCATCACTGGAGGATCAACCACATATAAAACTTAGCTCAAATGTCCTTTTCCACTTACTGTTTGGTACTGGTACTACTGCCATCTAGACTGTTTTGTTTTTGGGGATCATTGTCATTTTTTCCCAGTTGTTGTTATTGTAAATTACAGGTGACGTAGTGTAAACCAGTTACTTTCTTCTGTCAAAACACGAGCTCTCTAAATACGAGGACTTCCAGTTTGTCGCCGTCACTGCTCTTCCGTAGCACCACACGAGTAACCTGGAGAAGGCAATGGCAACCCACTCCAGTATTCTTGCCTGGGAAATCCCCATGGACAGAGGAGCCTGGCGGGCTCCGGTCTGTGGGGTTGCAAGAGTTGGACACGACTGAGCGACTACGCACACACATACCGGTAACCCCACTCATTCAAAAGTGTTTGGTGAATGAATTAATGAATTGCAAGGCTGTTAAAGAAAGCAATTGCTTGAAATTGTTTTAATTGTTTAATGAAATTGTTTAATGAAAACATTAAAGGCAACGGAGAGTCTTGGAAGCATTATTGAAAGCTTTAAGTAGTTTTGCAGAGATGATCCTTATGATTGTATCGCCAAAGTCAAGGGTCGAGATCTCGAAGAGATCTTTTGTCCATTTTACAATTTTGTGTGAAAAGTTGATTTCCCTCCCTGCCACCCCCAACCAGTAGTCACCATTCAGATTGTTTCTGTTTAATAATTAGCACAGTTGTAGCAATAATCCAAATTTTATTAAATGTTATACAAAGCTGTTTTCATCATTTTTCTCCTGCATTGAGTTTATCAACCTCCCATCCTTTACTATTAAATTTTAGCCCTTGGTTTCAATGTTCCCATTCCAAGTAGCCTTTTTCAGCTACCAGTCACAATGGAAGACCTCCTTGATTTCCTTGTAAAAAAAATGAAACAAGGGTGTAAATGGCCAGAGAATTTTGCTTCCTCGGAGAAGTTTTTTTGGAGCCATTGAATATTTTTTGAGTACAACTGTCTCCTGTTGTAAAGGGAAGAAATAGTCCTTGCTGATGAAAAAAGTCCGTGGTTTGGTTCATTTAAAGGTAGTTTCCTTTATTGCTGGTTTATATTAAATCACTAACTTATTAACATTTTTGTATGATGAATAAACACAGTATGCTAAATGAAAGTAAATGCAACTTAATACAACTATTAATAAGGAGTTGGTGATGGACAGGGAGGCCTGGCGTGCTGCAGTCCATGGGGTCGCAAAGAGTCGGACATGACTGAGCGACTGAACTGCACTGAATAGAATAAAGTTGCGTGCTCTGTTAGATAACTACTACTGCATAACAAGTTACCTAGAGATTCCTTGGCTTAAAAATGCGTACATTTATTCTCAGTTTCTGAGGGTTGGGCTATGGGTGCCTCTGGCTCAGGGTTTCTGAGGAGGTTGTATTCAAGCTGTCGGCAGTCCATATGAAGGCTTCACTAGGGCAAGATCGACCTCCAGGCTTATTCACATGGTTGTTGGCAGGAGTCAGTTCCTTGCGAGTTGTCCCACTGGGTGTCCCACTGGGTCGCTGGCTGCTGTCGGCTGGAGACAGCCCTCCGTTCCTGAGCACTTGGACCACGTCTTAGGCACCTCACATGGCATCTGGCTTTCCTCAGAGCGAGCAGTGAGAGACTGTCTGAGGTGGAAGCTGTGGTTTTTCCTGGGATACTTGACTCATCAGCAGTGAGTCTGGCCCACTCATGGGGAGAGGAGTCCATGCGTGGGTCCTGGGTGTCTGCCGCCTGTGGTAACATGCAGATGTGGAGTGTTCCGTATGAGGTGAAAATACACTTCCAAACCACACGACTCATCTCATTTTGCTCATTAGAAGCAGTTGAAATTAGGTGGCATCAAATTTTAAAAAATCAGAACCTCTAGATGTTTGTGAGCAAAGATACCTAAGCAGTATAAAGAATTTTATCTGGTGTACTATATAATACACATTTTATAATATGATTAATAGCTTTTCAAACATTTGCCATTGGAATTTAAAAAACTCTGTTAGATATCTTTTGCCTTTGTTCCCATGTGTAAAGCTTTGGTTTGAGTTCATTAATGAGACTGACAAGTACAGTTATGTCTGTTTACCGTTAGTAACATGGGCATCTCCTCCTCTCCCCCTGCTCCTTGCTCTCCGCAGATCGATCAGGGATAGAAAACGTCAACTCCGTGGAGGCTTTGCAGGAAACGCTCATCCGCGCGCTAAGGACCTTAATAATGAAAAACCACCCAAACGAGGCCTCTATTTTTACAAAACTTCTCCTAAAGTTGCCAGATCTTCGCTCTTTAAACAACATGCACTCTGAGGAGCTCCTGGCCTTTAAAGTTCACCCCTGAGGCCTTCGCTGATTTAGACATGAACCAACCCAGGCTAACTGTACATTTTGTGCTGAAACGCTTATTTCTCTGTGCGTGCCGCCTGTGGAGGTGGAGACCTCGGAGACGACCAGCCCGCAGGCCGTCTCTGCAGTCGGCCAAAGCCGTCCGCCGCATTTCCTCAGCCCTGGCCGGAGGCTGACCACGTCCCGAGTGATCCGTCAGCTGTGCGGCACTTAACTGGAGAAGCTACACTGAATTACAGTCACACTGAATGTTAGACTTTCTCATCTGCCAAAACCAAAAACCATTGATCTCCCTGTGACATAAATGTAACGCGTAATCACAATATCTGAGGACCTAAAGTTACCCCTCTGTGGTGGAAGTTACCCCTCCTGTCAGATGGAAGCCTGATTTCACCACAGGACTCTGATCTGCTGGTTGAGGCCCTGCGAGTGAGGAGACTTCGTTGTGGGTGCCCCCATCGTCATGAGCGTGCTCGGTCCTGGGAGGCTCCCTGCTTGTGGAAATGAGAGCCGATCCTTCCCCCAGGCCCACCTGACAACATCCTAACCAACATCTGTAAAGCATCTTTACCTCTTGGGAGATAGGCACTATGTAAATACAGTAAAATTTTTGTTATAATTATTCATAATAATTATCTTTTTTTTTTAACTTCTACTGTTTTCTGAGAAATCATTTCAGTCCACACCAATCTGCTATTCAGGGTTCCTGCATATGTGTGGGGTATCCTCTGGCACACACATATTCAAAGATTATGGGTACATTAAATACATAGTATGTGTACATAATATCTATGTGAATATAGTTATACATAAATATATCTCTTCACAATATTTTAAACTGTGAAGAACTTTATCATACAATAAACTTAAAACAAGAGGTGTCAAAAGACCCAAATTAGGTGCATTTTACCTGTTGATAACATAACCATTGCTTTCAATGTTTTAGAGAGTAGAGTGCTGAATTTATGCTCTATTTTTGTTTATTTAAGCACCACTTAATGTAAAAGTGCAACAGGCAGTTGAGTCCAGATTTTCAAAAAATTTGTGTTTTAGAGTTCATCTTTAGTAAAATTTTTGGTTTCAGGTACTGGTCATTTAAAAGTTCATTCAGATTCTTACCTTGTGCTAAAAAGGTTTCACTGCTGCCCCTTAATACACATGCTGCAGCTTGATGATAAACATTTTGATTCTTCCTGGAGAACCAGTGTTTAAGAGAACAGTTTCACATGGTGATGTGTGCCTGTGTGTGAATGTAGATGTGCCGGTGTGTTCTGAAGCCACTTGTTTTTTTTCCCTTAAACAACACTACAGGGATTTTGTCAAATTAGATTTAACCTATAATTTGAAAAATCATTTAGTGTGTGACCTACAGGCTTAGGAATAGTATAGTCAAAGACATTTCATCCTTATTTCTGTTCTTGGGCTTTATTAAATAGGTAAGATTGGCCTTTTTATGGCAGTTGGAGAAAATCACCTGAAAGTTGAGGATTTTGTGTATGTTTTTCTGTTGCCCTGCAAGATAGCAGCTAATTGGATTTTTTGGGTTAAGACTGCCTTCTGTATAATTTTTAGATTATATAAAATTACAAAAAACGAAAAGGTCCCCTTTACTGTCTCAGCCTGTTACTTTAATGACATGTGAGCAGAATGCCTTATTTTGTAACCTTGTTTAACTTGTTGCTACTAGGACTTGAATTTCTGTGGCACTAGTTAAGTAAGTTAAAAAAGAGTTAAACCCTCTCTTTATTAAAGAGGAAAGGTGATGGTGATGTCTGTAGTACAGTGTAAACCATAATTGTGATTTACCTTAAATAGGTATGACTTTTATGGGATATACAGTATAGTTTTTGTGAATTCTTTACATGATAGCATTATCTTTTTATAATTTTTTTCCGAAGATAAATGCATAGTTTTCTTCTATGGGAAATAGAAACAGCTTTTTGATGTAATACTGAAAACCTCAAAGATCATGTTGTTTCTTAATTTTTGCCTTTTGCATAAGCCTCTTTATAACATATATCTTTAAAGCAGTTACTAAGTCTTTAGGAATGTGTAACCAGAACTGTTAGTATTGCTTATAAAACTTTAGTTAGGTTCAATATATACATGTATACATCTATATATAGGTATAGAGATTTGCATTTTGTCTTGTAACATTTTATTTGAACAGATTCTTCCTGTAGGTAATGGGAAACAAATTTAATAGTTCATATGCCACTCTTAGCGTTTCTATATTTGAAAATAGCCCACGATTTAAACTTGTAATTCTAAAGTTAAACCAGCAGCCTACTACAAGCACATTCTTTGATTGAGTCATTGGTTATAAACTTACTGTTGATAAATGCGTAGAAGACAACCAGTTTGGGGAACTTCTGAGTTGGTGGGACACTGTTGATTAATTAACAATGTACTGTAAGAATTAAGTGATGCTTTAACTCTGATTTTACATTTTAAAGTTAAGACATGGGCATTATGTCAGCAAACTTAAGGGCATTATGTCAGCAAGCTAAAACATTTTTTTCTTGTGCTTTTAATGTATCTCCTTACATGATCTGAGAGACGATTCAAGCCTTTAGAGAGAAATAGCTGAGGAAAAGGGGAAACATCTTCTTGGGATGAAGCTTTTCCTTATGGCGATGGTTTAATTACAGATTCAAAAATCAGAAGGAAATTTCAGTGGATTAAGTGTATAGCTTCTGTAAACACATTTCAAGAAATTATCATTGTAACTTGATAAGATAGGATTTTTTTTTATGTAAACATCATTGCAAAGCAAGGAATAGAAGCTCAGCTAGATTTATTACTGTGCACGAGAGTAAGTACCTATCTCAATTATTCTTTTTCTTTTCCAATATAAAGTTTGCTGAATGTACAAGAAGAGTTTATCACTTAGGGCATAGAATTTTTTAGGGGTTGGGAGGGGGGAGCTCTGTCAGGCAATTACCTAGAAACAAAGATTGTCTTGGTTTGATCTGAAATGTAAAACTTGAAGCTATTCTTGAACTAACATGGAAAATAAAATGGCTATTGTTTAAAAAAAATGATAGAACTATATTGTTGACAAGATATGAATTAAGTTTATTTTCTACAAACTGTTATTGATGAAGACATGGATAATATGTTCATGTTTCTGAAAAGTAATCTGTACATGGGGGGAGGGAATAATAAATATTATTTCTAACCAGGTGTGGTATTTGGTATTTTCCTGAGTTTTTTGTAAGACCATCTATAATTACCTTACTGCTTTCCCTGAGCAGAGCAGGGTCTCTTATGTAGATCTCTGATTCAGCATGGGGTTGGGGGTATAAATATGCAGGACTTTTTTAAAAAAGGAGACTTCAGAGTTTGCTTAGAGATTCCAGCAAAGACTGTGAGTTTTCTATGATGCCAGCTGAAAAGCGTTCCTGGTTGGGGGACCGGGAGAGGCAGGGGGACCTGGTGTAGACCTCAGCTGTAACCATGAACCAGGTCGGGCGCCTCCGCACGACCACCGCCTCCTCTCGCTTTAACTAGGGGGTGCGGCTGTGCGGGCCACTTAAACCAGCGTTTGCCGAATTTGTTTCCAAGACTGGTAATATCCCCTACTTTCCTGTGAATGTTAATTGATGTCGGGTGGGAGACATGGGCTTCTTGATGAAATGAATGTGGAAACAGTGGGTTAACCAAGGTTACTGAGATGTCTTTACGGCATTCGTGTTCTCTGATGACCAAATGTGCATGTGTCCTTTAAGAAAGGGTTTAGGGGGATGCAGGTTTTTTTTCCCAAACGTTCTCCACCGGATAAACAGCCCCCCCACCCCATTTTTTCTGTGCTGAGCTCTTCTAAGGCTCTTTGGAAAGTGTGCTTTCAGGAGAAAAGTCCCTGGTAACCCACTTTAAGTTTTGATCAGGATGTTGATCATATTCTGTTGAGTATTATACAAATTTCCATCGGGTTTTGCCCCTTTTTTGCACAGGATGAGAAACAATGAGCTTGAAATAAATGTGTGACTGATGGAAAGCAAAACAGATGGAAATCCTTGCAAGTTTTGGAAATACTGCTGCTGAATAACCGAGTAAAAACGGCCAGTTCATGGATCTGGTGTTAGTTTTAACACTCACTCGGGCCTATTAAAACTTGTTAATTTGCTTTTCTTAATTTTTAGGCTGGGGGCTTCCCTGGTGGTAAAGAGTCTGCCTGCAGTGTGGGAGACCCGGCTTCAATCCCTGAGTCAGGAAGATCCCCTGGAGAAGGAAATGGTAACCCACTCCAGTATTCCTGCCTGGAGAATCCCATGGACAGAGGAGCCTGGCGGGCTACAGTCCATGGGGGTCTCAAAGAGTCAGGCATGACTGAGTGACTTCACTTTCTTTCTAGAAGTTGAGGAACAACTATGGCCTGTGTTCCAGGAGCCTTGTCAGAGCTGCCCTTCACAGTGTGAAGGTTGCTGGCCTTGGAGGGATTTTCAGACACCAGAGTAGTAGACCCACTTAGAACACTTTGAATTGAGCGTGTGTAGGAGCCACGAGTGCAGGCTGGGAGGAAGCTCAGAACCTCTCCAGAGCCCTTATGTGGGGTGCATTCCCCAGAAGGCGAACGTGCTCTCAGGATGACCATTGCCCCGGCATTTCAACACAGATAACCAGGAGAGTGAGCCCAGTGTTAAAGACTCCAGTACAAACCCAGGATGACCGCGTTCTTAGTCGCTTGGTTGTGTCTGACTACGACCCCGTGGACTGTGGCCCGCCAGGCTCCTCTGTCCATGGGATTCTCCAGGCAAGAGTACTGGAGTGAGTTGCTTGCCTTCCTCCAGGGGCTCTTCCTGACACAGGGACTGAACCTGGGTTTCCTACGTTGCAGGCAAATTCTTTACTGCCTGGTCCACCAGCAAAGCTGGCACATAGAACTGAATATGACCTTCTAAGGTCTCTGAGGTAAGCTGTTTTCTCATCTGTCGCTTCATTTTTCTCTGAACTCTTCTTATCCTTAACCTCAGTGTTTCCCCCCGCCCCATTACTTTGTTGCTTTGCTTGTACATTTTCATCTGTTTTTCCCTCCTACAAGAGATATTTCATTTCCTGTGCAGATTCTGCAGTTAAGCACAAGTAGGGTAGTTTCCAAACTGGAAAGCACCGCACTTGCGCTCTGTCTTGATCATCTTTCTGCGCCCCCCGCCCCGCCCCCCACCACCGCAGTGGCTGCTCTTTTTCAAAGCTATTTTGTCGGACAGGAGTTTTGAGGAATAAACTGATGGTTTACTTCTTCATTACTTACATTTACTGAATGTCTGTGTCTCAGGAGTTTTTATTCTTTAATGCACAGTGAGGTTCCATGAAAATCCAGGGTGCCAATCCAGACGGTTTTGCAAAGGTGTGAGCCTGTGGAGCAGGCGGTCGCCAGTCACAGCGGCCGAGTCCCGCAGCTGCTGCCGCTCGGGGGCTCCTGAGGTCTGGTGTGACCTGGTCGGGGATTCAGGGGCCTGGTTGGTAGAAACAGCCGTTATTAAAAATTAAGTTATGTAAGTTTACAATTGAGTTATATTTGAATGGGTAATACTCAAAGCTCATCTCTCCCTAATTATTTTAAATCTATTATTAATGCTTTGTGTGTATGTACGGTGGGTTCAGTGCATGGTGGGAATGTCCTTTATGTCAGCGTGTTTCTGCACACCTTCCCATTTCCCTGTCAAGGGATTATCTATACCATGAAAATCTGCACATGCTCTGAATCAGGGCTTGATTTATTGTTTTGTTGATTTTCTAGGCTTGAGAAAGTGATGGAGAAAATGTTAAGGATACAGATTACACTTAGAAGTGTGTCACATCTGTTGCCATTAACCATTGCAAATAGCATAGAAAAATGAATAGTCCAGGAGTTGAAAAGTATTACCTGGTTCAGCAAAGAAATTTCTCACATCATTGATAAACAAGTCAAGTTCTGATGTCGTTTTTATTGTTTTATTGTATTGGAGGAGAGCATGACAATCCACTCCAGTATTCTTGCCTGGAGAATCCCATGGACAGAGGCGCCGGGCAGGCTACAGTCCATGGGGTCGCAAAGAGTCAGACACAACTGAAGTGATGGAGCATGCACACAGTTATTAATATATTTAAAATATCAATCAGCTTGCCAGAACTGTGTTTGTCAGTTGCAACTTCAGCAAAAATAAAGGCATGCATTCTGTGAGAATTGTGTATATGGAGTAAACAGTAAAGAGGATCGTACACTTTATATATTGTGTGCTGTATCGCCTTTCGGTAAGAATAATAGATGCACACTCATACATATGATACTCCTCCTCAGGGAGCTAGCTAGCTGTTAAACACTACCTACACACCACTATTACTTAACCCCAAGAGGTAATTCTGTTTTTCTAGATAAAGAAACCTAGGCTCAGAGTTTAAGTAACATTCAAGTTTGCACAGCTACTTAGTGGAGAGGCGGATTGCAAAACCCAGATGTCTGGGCCTTGGCTCTGCTCTCAGCTATTCTGTGTGACAGAGAGGCCAGGCCGGGTCCCCTCCTTGCAGAGCAGTTTTTAGTAAGTCTGCTTGGCTCTCTGCAGGTGTGGGCTGTTGAGAGGGGCTAAAGGGGAAACTTAGGCAAGGAGTCAACACGTAGTAGTCTAATGTTATCCCCCCAACCCCTCAGTAAAACGTTCTCTCATCTAGAAAAGGACGGAGTGGGTGCGAGACTAAGTGAGAGGAAGTAAAATCTTTGCCAACAGTGAAGCCTATTCAGACATGAGGTCACTGCCCGTAAGCAGAGGGAGGGGAGAGGGGTGGGCCCCCGGGCAGGAGGCCGGGGGGCTCTCTGGGGGCTCAGCCCAGGGGCGGGTCTCTCAGAAGCCCCCGGGGAGGAGGCTGGGGGCCTCTCTCAGGGCTCAGCCCGGGGGCGGGTCTCTCAGAAGCCCCCGGGGAGGAGGCTGGGGGGCTCTCTCAGGGCTCAGCCCGGGGGCGGGTCTCTCAGAAGCCCCAGAGAAGGGGGCTCAGCCCAGGGCGGGTCTCTCACAAGCCCTCAGGCTGCAGTGAGGAGACGGGCGCTGAGCGGGTGTCTCCTGGTTTACGCCTCCTCAACTGGAAGCTCCGCTGTCAGGAAGGACCGACCCAGTGGGGACCTCCGCCTTCGCACACGGCCGATTTCCAGTCACTTCCTCAGGAGCATCTGAAACAAGGGACTGAGGATGACCAGGCCCGTGTCTTGCCACCTGCCCCTCAGGGAGGGTCCTCAGTCTTCCGGTCGGCGCTGGCCTTGCCCAGCATGGACTTCTACCTCAGAGGCTGCGATCGTTGGCTTCATGCTTCTTGACGGTACAGACAACTTCCGTGTCCTCAAAGGGAAGCATTCCGTGTCTTTTCGTTTCGAATGTTCTCAACGTTTGCTGAGGTTGGAGGTTGGAAGACACCTTTCTCGTCACAGTTCGGCTCTTGGAGGAGTCGAGGGCGTTGACCCCTGTGCCCTCCAGCATCGCATCCAGGGCTGACCTTTTGTGACGCCATGATCTGGAAACCAACACAGAAGAGCCAGTGCAGTGGCGCGGGCGGAGACCGCCACTGAAGGGTGACACCCGGGGCGACGCTGCGCCCTGCCCGCGACTGTCCGCTGCCTTTTGCTCCGAGTCACCTCTCGAGGCTCGAGGACAGAAGTGTTGCGGGGCCTGGGGGTTGTGCCAAGGAGTTTCATTCCGCCAAGGTTCCAGAAGCCGGAGGAGGGGCCAGGGCATGAGAGATGTTCGGAGCCCCTGGCGCCGGGCGCCGGGCTCCGGGCTCACCTGTCCGCTCAGGAGCTCCTTGAGTTCTCGGGGAACCCCGGGCGCTCCGTCTCACTTTCCCGCATAGCAGCGCTTGCGTCTTCGGTCCTAACCAAAGAGTACGGTTTTGTAGTAGAAATGGAAAAGAGTGTAAAATGTTTGCAGTTGATTCTCTCATCGCCTCACCTACATCCTTTTAATTTTACTCCAGCCCTCAAAGAATTCAGAGAAATATTTCACTGTGTAAAACCAAAACTTCCACCTGCTGTCATTTTCCAACACTCTTGGCTGGTAATGCCAGAAAAATCTTACAGGGAACACTCAGACGTCTACAACCCATACATATCTTACCATCGTCATTCTGTACTTCTTACATGTCTGTCCACCCTTCCATCCACCCATTGATCTTGGTTTTTTAAAGGTCATTTTATTTGTTTATTTTTGGCAGTGGTGGCTCTTGGTTGCAGAGGGTGGGGGCTCCTCTCCCATTCCGTGGGCTTCTCCGTACCGTGGCCTGCCTTGCTGAGGAGCACAGGCTCTGGGACTCCGGGGCTTCAGCAGTTGCAGCCCCCAGGCTCTAGAGCACTGGCTCGGTGGTTAGGATGCATGGGCTTAGCTGTCCACGGCATGTGGGATCTTCCCGGATCAGGATTGTGACCCCGTGTCTCCTGCATTGGCACACAGATTCTTTACCCACTGCGTCACCAGGGAAGTCTCATCTATTAAAAAATTCTTTAATAAAATAAACTGCAGTCATCAGGAAACTGCTCCCTAAGATGTTCAGCTTGCATACAGCTTGCTAGAGTTGAATATTAATTCACAGTTTGTTCTTTTGATGGAAAGTTTTCAAGGAAATGCACACATCTTTGGGTACAGTGTCCACTCTGCGTGACACAGGCATTCTGCCCCTGCAACCCCAAACCCAGCTGAAACAGAGAATGTTACTGTCACCCCTAAAGTCTCCTTGTACCCCTTTCCAAGACAATCCCTGTTGCTAAGGAGACAATAACTATTGCTCTGATCCATATGTTGCTGCATAGAATCCCTTTGTAGGGGTGTACAGGTTTATTTTTCCTATTGATGAATATCTGGGCTGTTTCCAGTTTGGGGTTATTATGGATAAGCTGGTTATGAGCACTCTTTTGTATTTGCATAGCTCTACAGCATGACTTGATCCCGGGGTAGAATTTGAGTTAGGTTTCAAGAGTGCAGGAAGCTGCACATAGTGGAAAATACAGTAAGCCTCCTACGTACGAACGTGCTCCATTTTGAGAGCACATCCACAAGGCCTGTTTGTTCCTAAGGCCAACAGTTAGCCTCGGTACCCAGCTACCACAGTCAGCTACATACTGCTGCTTTTACATTTGCTTCTGGACATCCTGGACTTGAAATAAAGATACTGTGCTACTATACTTTGGACACCACTGTACAACAAAATGCACAAAAACACAGCCACTTGTAGCGGATGTACACATGTGACAGTGTACACCAGAAATGAGAACTAAGAAGTGATTGGACAGGAGAACGCAAGTTCACGTCTTTGAAAATTCAAAACTCGAAGGTTCGTATCTAAAGGGCTTCCAATATGAGAAACAGATTTAAGTCCTGAATTAGTCCTTTCTGTTTGGGGTCTCATGGAAAGAGCAGTGCATCAATTAGCAGATACTTAAGACTTACCTAAACGGGATGAAAGCAATAAGGATATCTGTTACTTATTTCCTGTGTAAGATCTCTGGAGGCAGGGCAATTCCAGGCTGGTTCAGTGGCTCCAAGTGCCATCAAGAACTCAAGAGTACCCCTCACACCCATTAGATGGTTGTTGTACATTGTTGTTCATCAAACAAACAGAAAAACAGAAAAGAAAATGCTGTTGGTGAAGATGTGAAACCTCGGAACCACTGTGCCCTCTGGGTGTTAATGTTAAGTGGTGCAGCTGCTGTGGAAAAGGTATGGCAGTCCGTAAAACTTTTAAAATAGAATTATTGTATGATCCAGCAATGCCAGTTCTTGGACTATATACTCCTGAAGAATTGAAAGCAGCATCTTGAAAAAGTATTTGTACATCCAGATTATGGCAGCCTTATTCATGGTAGCCAAAGGGTGGAAGCAGCCTGTGTTCATTGATATCTGAATGGATACACAACACATGGTTTATGTGTGTGTGATGGGAATATTATTATAATAATTATAATTTTATATTTTATTATAATAATTATAACTATATAATTTTTATATTATAAAACACATTATATGTATGTGATTTTATATTATAAAACACATTATATGTATGTGATGAGAATACTATTCAGTTGTAAAACAGAAAAATTCTGGCACATCCCACAACTAGGATGAACCGTATGCCAAATGAAATAAGCCAAGTCATAAAAAGATAAATACTAAATAATTCCACTTATATGAAGTACTTGAAGTGGTCATATTCACAGACAGAAAGTAGGAAGTAGAATGCTGTTTTCTTGGGGATGAAATGTCGGGGTGAGGCAGGATGGTGAGGTATTTCAGAGCTTCAGTTTTGCTAGATGAAAAAATTCTGGAGATAAAATCATAATTGAGAAAGATACATGCACCCGTATGTTCATAGCAGCACTCTTCACAATAAACATAGAAATCACCTAAATGTCCACTGGCAGATGAGTGGATAAAGAAAGTGTGGTATACATCTGTACAATGGAATGTGACTCATCCAAGAGAAGAATGAAATAATGCCATGTGCAGCACCATGGATGGATCTCGAGATTATCATACTGAGAAATCAGACAGAGAAAGACAAACACTGTATGATATCACTTATATGTGGGTTCTAAAATATGACACAAATGAACCTCTCTATGACACAGAAATAGATTCACAGACATAGAGAACAGACTGGAGTTGCCAAAGGGGGCGGGGGAGGGGTGGAGTGGGAGGCTGGGTTAGCAGATGTGAGCTACTTATACAGGAGGGACAGAGTCCTACTGCAGAGCCCAGGGCACTATATTCAGTAACCTGTGGTAAACCACAGTGGAAAAGAATATGAAGAAGAATGTATATGTTTTTACAACTGAGTCCCTTTGCTGTACAGCGGAACTTAACATTGTGAAGCAAGTACACTCCAAAAAATGGAGAAGAAAACAATTCTGGAGACTGGTTGCACAATGATGTGACTGGACTTCACACTACTGAACTATATACTTGAAAATGATTAATTTTATGATATGTGTATTTTATTACAATTAATAAAAACAAAACAACAGAAGTTTCTTTGTCAGCTTGTGCATGTTTCTCACATTGCAAGTGGGCACCTTGTCAGGCATCACGGCAGAATTACTATGTCCAGAGAAGAAGAGGAGAAACCTTCCTCTTGTGTGTGTGGGGAAATTTCTTTCAGAAGGAGGTCGCCGCAGACTATGTGTCTCAGCTGCCACTGGCCAGTTGGGTCTCATTTGGCAAGAGAACCTGGAAAACAAGCATATATATAGTGTCTTTGACTCTCTGTAGAGAGCAGCAGGCTCTCCTGGAAAGAACAAGGGGTTGGAAGACTGCTGTGAGGTATGAAACCAACAGTATTGTCTTCTTCATGGAGTCCTGTTAGGGCGGAAGGCCCTCCTTTGCGAGCTCATCAATGACAGCCACGATCGGTGGTGACCAGACCAGCCTCCCTGTTGATGCAGAAATGATCCTTTGTTGTTGTTGTTCAGTTGCTAAGTCGTGTCCAACTCTTTGTGACCTCATGGATTGCAGCATGCCAGGCTCTCCTGTCCTTCACTATCTCCTGGAGTTTGCTCAGATTCATGTCCATCGAGTTGATGATGCTATCTAACCATCTCATCCGCTGCTGCCCCTTGCCTTCAGTCTTTCCCAGCATCAGGGTCTTTTCCAATGAGTCGGCTCTTCGCATTAGGTGGCCAAAGTATTGGAGCTTCAGCTTCAGCATCAGTCCTTCCAATGAATATTCAGGACTGATTTCCTTTAGGATGGACTGGTTTGATCTTCTCGCAGTCCGAGGGACTCTCAAGAGTCTTCCCCAACACCACAGTTCAAAAACATCAGTTCTTCAGAGCTCAGCTTTCTTCATGGCCCAATTCTCACATCCGTATTTGACTATTGGGAAAACCATAGCTGTGACTGCATGGACCTTTGTCAGCAAAGCGATGTCTCTGCGTTTTCAGCACTCTGTCTAGGATGGTGCTCTTGGCTCACTGCTAATAAACACAGGACTGAGGCAAAGTACAGATGAAGGCCGCAAGCCTGTTCCCTGTTTTCCACACTCCTGCTTTTATTCCATAGCAAGAGAAGCTATTTTTTTTTAAGGAATTTTGTGACCCTGCTGACTTCACACTGGTGTCTTGAAATTGGCCCCAGTGGGAGTGTTGATACTGTGGAAATCAGTAATACTGCAGATTAGGGCTCCTTCCCCCCCAGGTAGCAACGCACTGCTCAGAGCTTAAGATCCTGGCCATGCAGTTCAACTACGACAGCCAAGGAAAGAGGCTTGTGCAGGCCCTGGAAGCAGTCCAGGCCACTCGGGTAGGGGGCTCAGATCTGGAGCTGACCTAGAAGTGGGCACCCTTGGCAGGGCAGAGGGGCCAGAGGAGGGACAGGCTTGGGCCTTCTGAAGTGTGATTCGGGGGCAGGGCCCAGAGTCGCCTGGGCTGTAGGGAGGTCAAGAGAGGGCGATTCTTCCGTCCCCTCCCTCCAGTCCCTGTCTCTGGCTGGATGGGGCAACACCTCCTGATGACCTTCTTAAGCTGGTATAATAATAGGGAGGAACAACTCTGAGTCCACATGA